ATGCACTTCATCTCTGTCATCCTAGGCGAGCGCGGCGTCGAGCACGGCCGCGATTCGTTCCCGGTCTTCTACGTGAACCCGTACTCGACGCTGGCGCACACTGTAGCAAAGCTGGTGGCCACCCAGTCTCATCGCATGTGGGTTGTTGAGTCGGCGTCTCCGTCTCCGTCTGCACCGGCTACTCCCTTGTTGGCGCCCACAACGTCGTCAGTGCTGGTGCCGGGGATTGGTTCCGCGCCTCAGTCGCCTCTGCCGACCCAGGTTTCACACGTTGTACCTGCGGCGGCCATGCCAGGCGCCCATCTCTCCGGTCGTCTGACCGGTGTCATCTCGCTGACCGACATCTTGAACATGTTTGCAAAGTCGTCGGGACTGCGGCCGTCGGACCCGGGCGAGCAGCGAGCGCGCCGTCGCAGAAGCTCCAGCAGCTCCATGCGGCCAAGTCTCGACTCGTCTAGACCGAGCCTTGACTCACGTCGCTGAGGAAGACTTGGTCTTTGGTAGAGATGGAACAATAAGGAAATCCTAGAAAGCTTTACAGCAGCTTTTAATGACTGGCGTTTATGGGTTCGTCACATGGGGCTTCTGCTTTTGGCCAGAGCATGCTTTTGCTCAGTTTTTATGCTTTTTTCGTTTCCATTAGACGGCCGAAGCTTCAGACGAGATATTCTAGATCGCTGTCGATAACAGGCGGTTCCCGCAATATATGTGATCTGATCTGAATATTGTTCCACTTTGTGCCGCTCTTCCGTGATACATGGGATGAATCTTCATCACATACATGCATGGGCTCGGTGCCTGGATTGTTTCTGTCGTTCTCTAGGCAAGTCCATAGACCTTATAAACGACGCTGTTGAGAGGTCAATAGTTCGCTACTATATATACGACCAGTCGTTTCTCTTCACGTGTAGGCATTGATGACTTCGCGTATGGCCAAGCAGAACAGACCATCAGCTCCCGGTCGTCTTCTCCGAAGCGTCGTTATGTTGGGAATGCGTTCGGCTAGAGAGACCTTTCATGCTTCTCAAACCCCCCTTTGACCGTGACGTGTTGAAAGATCGAGTGTGTGCCCAAAGCTGCTCTCACCAGCATACCAGCCTTCTCGATCCGAGATCTCAAGCCTGATCATCATACCTCCCCTCCCCTCAGGACCCGGTGACTTAGCTCAGGGTACCATGATATCTCATGGATAAAATGCTCCTAAGTAAATCTCACAGTTTCCAAGAAGGTCAAAGAACGGAGTTCCGAGAACCCCCCTGCTGTTTCATATTGATTTCTCCAATAATTCGGCCGTATGAAACTAAGTAACGTGTGACATTGAGAAGAGTGGTGATTGTATTGCTTGAGATTCATCATGGTGAATACGAGGCAGAAAAAACAAGAGAGAAAGAAAAAGAACGAGTGGAAAACCAAGCTGACCATGGCATTATGTAGGACCGTGAGCCAACATACAACCCCTTGCTAATAAAAGCTAGAATCATACCGCTCGGCCATCGACTACAACGGACGGTGCTTGTTGAAAAGCTGTCCCACTTTGGGTGCCTATGAAGGCATTCCCCCTGCCACCCCAACCCTCGATACACCAGCCCATTCAGATCCAGTTTTTCATGCCTCACAATCAATGAAACGGATGTTTGCTAGCAATGGTTTTCCTCATTTTACGTCGTATATATGTACTAAGTTGGAGTTGTGGTCCACACACTGAATATGTACACTTCACAACAAAAACTTCTCCCCTACCTCCCCCATCTCCCTTCCACTCATCACCTCCCCCTCCAAGTCGGATTTGAAGCCGTGACTAGTTTCAGAGAGTGGGAATTTGTTCGAGTTCCACACTCTAGATGGGAACACCAGCAGCGGCGCAGGTGTTCTGAGCCCAAGTAGAGGCAGCAATACTAGGAGCCCCAAAAGTCAGTATTCGGAAATGCTTGATCCCCCCCCCCCCCCTTTCCACTCGGGAAGAGAGACGCAGAGAGAGGGATAGAATGTCCACTTACGCGTCGGAAAGCTGGCAGGCACCTAGGACGCAGGTGGTCACGGCGCTGTTGTACGCGGAGGAACTAGATGGTATCCAGCACATATCAGTCAATGGGCTCGTGAAGGAGTTTCAAACAGGAACAATACTCACGCGCAGATGCAGGCGAAGTCGGTCTGGTCAGTGCAGCCCGAGATGGGGAAGTTGTCGACGAAGCAGGGGCGCTAGATATCATCAATCTTCTCATCAGCCACATGGTTCGAAACATGGAAGCTCCAGGAGTCGCGTTTGTCTATCTTGAGGTAGACGAGCGAGGAGAACTGGAGGATGTGAGGTGAGGTGTCTCATACCGCGCAGTCGGGGAGGAGGGAAAGGTCCTGGGCAGCGACGAGGCTGGCGAAGAAGGCGACGGCGACGGTGGTGAACTGCATGTTGACTGGTTGGTCGAAAGTGGGCTTTGGTTGGTAAGTTTGTCTTGGTTGTGTAAGTGATCTGAGAGTTACTGATGTTGTGCAATTGGAAGGGTTGATCACGACATCTGGGGATGATGATGGGTTTATATAGATCGTTTTGCGTCCCTCCTCTTTCTTGTCTGATGTCAACTCTTTTACTCTTTTCAACATTACATCGATACTTGCCAACACCAGTAGCCCATCATGATCCTTTACCCCGCAAACTACCACCCGCATTCTTCCTTTCCCATATTTTCGATGTTTCTCCCCTTGCTTACAGCTAAACGGTGCCTGGATTAGGGAGCTGAGATTGTAATCATCTCCAAATTTCACATGATGCCGAAGAACAACAGCAAGGAGGACGGAGCTCCAAGCGGGGTTGTCCGTTGAGAACAAGCGAGGAGGCTTTCGCCAAGATGGTTCATCGCGGCATTGGAAAGCAACCCTAGACGGATGCGACGTCCCCCAAAGGAACTGGCCAACATCGGCGACTTTGCCGGATGGAGAACTCACGCGGAGGCAGACGGTTTGGAGGTTCGAAAACTTGATTCAGATGATGTAGCTGGCTATACGTATGTCTGTTTACCTCAGCAAGGGGTTTGAAGAGGATGGAGAGTATCATGCTGACTTGTATCATATCAAGCTGAACAGGAACGCTCCTTGACGTAGGCTCCACGATGTCCAAGTAGACGATCCTCCATGGGACCAAAGCATGAGACGAACCTCTAGGCGGTAACGCACAGCCTCCGCTAGCATTGCCTTGTACCAATGACCGGCTCCGACATACGCTTCCGCCTAGACCGGCCACTTGTAACGGCGGACAGCTCCTCAGCCCATTGAATATCACGCCAAGACCTGGTCGATTAACACGAGCACATATAACGCCAAAAGACTTCCCAAGTTCCTCCCTCTGCTCTGGCCCGCAAAATTTCGGCCGATCACAAGGCCAACTCGGACATGGAGGCATCTCGACCGATGTGACATTGGCTTAGAGTTGCGGGGAAGCTTGTAAGTAGGCCTATCCGTCACTTTCCCAGCCGCATGTCAAGTCAAGCGATGAGAGGACGAGAGCGGTTCATCTCACGTAACGCGTCCCTGCCGTCTTATGACAACTGCAAAACACCCACGTCACTGTCTTGAGACCCCCCTCGAAAGATTTGACCAGGCACGGCGCGGCGCAGCGGTTGCTGGGTGATCGGCTCTGCTGGGAACCTGGATAGGGAGGTGGTCTCTCCTAAACCCCGCTTATGGACTGCTGCAAAATCCGGGGATTGCGGGGCGGGCGGGGAGGAAACGGGGTGGTATTCAGTCCAAGTTCTTCCGGGGGTGGTGCGAGGTTGCATTCGGAGGTCAGTCAGGGTGTGGCCAAGGATGAGTTCCTGCATCGGGGGAAGCATCGGGGATGGGGAGGAGTTGGAGGCGGCGGCGCCGCCGCCTGCGCCTCCGCGGGAAGAAGATGATTCAAGTGAGAGTGGCTTGCCGAGGCGAGGCGTTCTTTCGACAATGCGGATGAAAATGGCTTCTGATAATGTGACTTTGTACCATGGGACTTACAGCTCGATCTACGATTCTTGAATAAGCTGAGATGAGTTGTTCTTTAGATGACAAACAGGGGGCGAACAAAGTTGTTTGGAGCTCGGAGTAATGTCAAACTCATTACTAGTTGGACAGGGCTTCCCCGCGCCGGCACTTCAATGCCGCTTTTCGCATCTGAGATTGCAATTGCAGGGGAGGGGGGTCAAAATGACGGCTTGAAGTGTTTACGAGTGAATGAATGACATCTTGTTTTGATGAGGTTAAGTTGACTGGCCCTCGAATGCTCGAACGGAAGGGATACTTCAGAAAGGAACATAATTGTCATGCAACCCAAGTTCCAGCATGGCAGACACGACAAGGCCAAAAACATTTAAGTCACGAAAAATGAATAAGTTTAAACCAACTGTCATGCAAGGTATGGCTTTGTAGATCATACTATATTGTGAACAAAAGTGAAAGTTTCCGAAACCGAGAATCGAACTCGGGGCTATGCCTAACCTCTCAAAGAGATGAGAGGGCATCATGTTGGCCACTACACCATATCGGATGTGGATACCAGGCTGGCTTGAAAGTGCAACCAGGTAGGCTTGGTGGTGGGTGAATAGTGCAGCACGATCTTCTTCAATTTGGAAGTTGCTGTTATGGGCTGACGTGTTGTCTATCGTTCTCTCTATACAATTGACATTCACAGGAGAAAAGAGAAACTCTGCATTTACTTTAACCCAAAGTGTACGGAGTAGCTCAAATTGACTTTTTAAAAGGTTCGTCTGCGCTTAGGTGAGTGTCATCTCAGTCACACACTGTACTCTAGCACTGTCCTTCAAAACTTTCAAGCCCAATATCTCACAGTTCATCTCATCTCATCTCCAAAAAAGAAGTCCCAAAACTCATTTACAACAGCCCAACCTAAGTGAAATCTCACAGAAATAGCCATCACAAACACATTCACGTGCATAAGCATCTCTCTTTTCTTCTCCTGCAAGATACGAAAAACGTAAGAAGCCCAGCATCACATAACCCCATAACCATAATTCATCATGGCAACCACAACAACGCAAGACTTTACAGCCTACTACCTCCAACGCACCACCCAAGAATTCGCAGAGGACCTCGACAAAGTCCGCGCCGCCGACGACTTCAAGGCCGAGTCGCTGCCCTTTCTGATTCACGCCCTGCAGCAGGGCACCGCGCTCTACTCCGCCCGGGACCAGGAGCGCGTCGTCAAGCCTCCTTCAGCTGCTGCTGCTGCTGCTCCTGCTGCTGTCGCTGTCGCCGTGGATGAGGATGTAGACATGGCGGAGGCAGCCGACGAGGAGGAGGCCGCCCCTAAAAAGGAAAAGAAGGAGAAAAAGGACAAAAAGGAAAAGTCCAAGAAGAGGAAGTCGACTTCTGGTTGAAAGAGGGGTCACTGCGGTTAGTTGCTGGATGTGAAGGAATTGGAGGGCGGCAAACGTCTTTTGCATCGCCACGTCGGCGCGAATTTTCAAGGAACAGAATGGTTATCCATCAGCCCACCGAGGGGGCGGTGGTCTCATTCTTCACTTGGGCTCAAGGCGTTCTACCTACCGAGTCTGGCGGCTGAACCACCATCGAAGGATGCACCAAATGTTGCAGGGCATCGAATCGAGGTCTCAAATTCTGTATGAACGCTGGAGCAGCGAAACGGGCATCGAGACATGGGTGCAATCAAGAAGTTTCTGAGGCAAACGAAGATAATCAATTCAATTAGCCCTCTCTGAAGCTGCACTAGCAGCTTCACGGATACTCGTCCTCCGGGGGGGTAGGGAAACTTCCCGGCGCAAAAGGACTTTTGGGTTAAGGATCAGAGAAACGGGAAGGAGCATCGCGAGATAACCCAGGATCAAAGAAGATAGATACCCTCAGAGGATTTGAGTAAGAAGAAGTTAGGCACAGGCACAGAATATAGGTAATGGCAACTGGTCACGGAGCCATAGCCACTGGCAACATCAATACAAAAGAGTCTCCCGCCAACATGTTCCATTGTTGCTGTGTCTGACATCATCGGGGTTTGCAAATTGTTGCGATAATCAAATAATAATTCAACTCTCCAGGCTGTCATAAGGGTATCTCTAGGATTAAAGATTAAAAAAAAGGAAAGGACGCTCTCAGCCATGCTTCACACATGCCATCGCTGTCTAATGCCGTGTTGACCGCATACTCATTACTGCGTCACTACCGTTGTCGTTCCATGCCAGCACTTCATACCGCTTAACGCGGTTCACAAGAAACCTAAAATTCATCCTTCGCCGATTATTCAGGACAGCCGATACGACCGGCGGCAGGCCTCCTTGCGCACAGCCCAGCCTTTGATGGCCAACACGATGATGACCCAGGCCATCAAGACGCCTACAAGTCCCATGGTCACGGTGTACATGAACATAGCATCTAGGTTGTAGTGCTCCATGCCCTCAACAGTGTCGCTCGCCTGGCCAATTGTAAGCTATTGCTCATTCGGAGTAAAGTAGGTGGATGGGAACTTACACTAGCCATAAAGATGATCCCACCAGAAATCAGGCCAAAGGCGGCTAGGAGCTCCGTGGGGGGTCTAGACGGGAGAATGGACTTGGGAGGCTTCAGGTACATGATGACATATGAGAATCCACGAGCGAAAGAGGCCCCGGTGAGGAGGTTACCCCACTGCTTGTGAATCATGCTCGAAACCATAGAGTGCTGCGTGTGCGAGCTCATCATGATGCCCAGGAGGAGAATGACGAGTGCCGGGATGGGGTTTATGGAGAACTCGTATTGCTTCGGCGGCTGCAGATCCTTCTTCTGCTCTTCTTCGTCGTGGTAGTGCTCAGAAGCAGCGTTGATGACTGATGTGTTCAAGAGCTCTCGAACGCGACTGGACTCGATAAGCATGCCGACCTAGTTTCATCTGTTAGTCAACTCCGACTCACGATCCTGGCGACGAGAGGCTTACCAGTCCACCACCAATGAAGAGAACGGTGATTGAGATGTGCTCCAGATCCTGCGCGCTGTATTCTCCTCCCCAATTCCCAAGATGCTCGAGGAAGATGTTGGTGGATCCGTAGACGAAAATGAGGGCGCTCTCGACAAACTCAGCCGAGGGCCGCCACTTGCCGTCGGCACGCTTCGGTCGAATATTCCACGCCTGCCGGAGTACAGTCAGCAAAATGGTTCCGAACACGGTCGACAACGGAACGTGGACTTACCCATCCGAGTTCACCAAAGCTGCCGGTCCATCGACCAAGGGTCAACAAGCCAAGCCAGAAGAAAATACCGCCCTTGACCCAATGCGCCAAGCCACTGAAGATGCCGTTGCCCTCCTGTGTATTGTTAGCGTTTCAAACCCAGCAAGCTCATTCACATATCACTTACAAAGAACCGCCCGTAGGCCACAATACCTAGACACAATGTGACAAACCCTAGCGGCAGAATGATCCTATCGATTGAGTTGTAGAAAAAGACCAAGCCCTTCAACACGCGCGAAGGAATCTTCCCCGCTACTCTTGCAATAGCCGACCTGGGTGTGGCATTGGTGTTCTCGTTCATGTTACTTGGCATGGGCATGGGAAGGCCATCCTCAATGTCGTCCTCTTCTTCGGCGTACTCCTTGAGGTAGGCATCGGAGTTGCGCGGGGACACCTCATTGGACGACGAAGAGCGGGAATGGCTCCGGAGCGATTCGGTACAAGGCTCAGTACCTTGCCCGCTATCGTTGGATAGGCGATACTCGCTGGCATATCGAGAGCTGTTGACTCGATGGTGCTCTGCCATGGCAGCCGTAGAAACTGGGATGAATGATTGGTATTCGTTATTGTCGGACGGTTCGCGGCTGTTGTGCCTCAGAGCGCCAGCGACTCTTCCTACAAGGCCGATCAGGACCTGCGCCAAGAGGGCCCAGGTAACTAGCCAGCCCAGCTTGTGGTGCGCATTGTTGGGGTAGAGATCGGGTGTGCTAGCATTGTAAATTGTTCCCAGGAGAACTCCGAGAGCATTAACGGCCACGAAAACAAATTGTAGCGCGAGTGTATATCTAGAGCGGGCAATGGAAAGCATTACAGCTGCGAATCGCGTGTAAGTCAGCGCCGGGTTACTGGCCAGGGCTCGTCATACTCACCAATTGGCAGAACGAATATCCAGGCGAGCACCATAACTCCAATGTGTGCGTACATTATTCCGACATGGTCGGCGAGCGCAAAGTATGTTGGCGGGTAGCTTTTGGATTCGGCCTTCGGCTCGTCTGCGCCGTGGGCCATGCCCATGTCCATCTCCATGGCGTCGGCGCCAGCTTCGTGAGCGCCGTGGGCAACAGCCAAGGGCACAATGCCCAGTACCACCGCCGTGGTGATTTGGCTAGCTGATAATCTCATTAAGGGCCTTTATGCGACGAAGCTGTCCGTTGTCGCAAGAGGAGGCGAGGAGCGATGTCAGGTTCGGTTATGTCGCAAAGAGGATCTCGATTTTCCCCCAGATCTAGTCAGACAAAGTACGATGGGATCGATGAGAGATCTATTTGGCGCTTGCTTGCAGCTTCTTGCGCAACGACAGAGCAGGAGGGTAAGCTTCAAGATTATTGAGGAAATGCCATGAGCGAGAGCGAGGTCGGGTCGCCTTTATTAAACAACAAGTAGAGTGGGGTCTAGCGAAGAGAGAAGTAGAGACATCGCACCGGCGCCAGCACCGTAGCGGAGACCGAGAGAAGTCCTTTTGCGACAAGATTCTTGTCTAGATGTGTAGGTAAGGTACAGAGCCACGGTGAAAGGCAGGTCAACGATAGCTTCTTGGAGCCGGCGTCGGTACACGGCGATGACATGGCCGGGCTTTAGGTACGTTGGGACTGGGCAGCCAGAAGTCAGGTCATACCCATGCGCATTCCCCATCTCCATCGTACCTTTATGGGATGGTGCAAGAAGGTACCGGTGGTGTATTGTACATGCTGTCAAGGAGGTTTCCTGGAAGTCATCCTACCCACCCCATGTGAGGTAAGGCGGCGGCCACGAGAAAGAAGTCACCGACCGTGGTAGGCGCGAGGCGACTGGCAGCAAGCAGTATGCTCGGCAGCGTGTGTGTGTGTGTGTGTGTAAGTGGTGACAAGGTCCAGAAAATGTGCAAAGACCGACTCCGAAGGTTCCGAAGGCATCCACGAGCGAGGGTCCGGCCAAGTCCAGCATCATCCAGTGACCGAAGAGAGGAGCTAGGCCAAGAGCTGTGCGGGATGGAAACGGTAGTAACTTGTCACTCACCTTGCCCTTGCTGGCGGAGGTACTCGAGGGATGTACCCGCCCACGGACCCGAAGCTACGGGAGCTGGCCGGCGCGGGCACGTTGAACAATGGATGGAGGTGAGAGGAGGTAGTCTGAAGGAGTGACATGTGGACGACCTGGAAGACGCGAGAGCTTCATTCTCTGAGATTCTACCCTCTTTCTCCACGCCGTTAGTGATGCTGGTGGGGCACGCACTACACATCCCGGGAATGTAGTGGGGGTGCGGGGAGCTTTCCTGCACCAGCTTACTAGGCTACCTGCCTTACTCCTGCGGATTTCGCGGCAGTGACGCCATGAGACCCTGCCAGAAATTTTCACGACCACCTCATTGGAGAGAAGAAGGTTGCGATGAGTGCAGTAGTGTAAGGACTTAGACGGGCAGGCAAGGTGGCAAGGTAGGTAAGGACCATGAGGTAGGGTAAGTGAGGTAGGTACTCATCTTACCTCTCTTGAGAAAGAGAGGGTATTCCCGGGAGCAGATGGAATCAAGTAGTAGCAATTTGTATCCCTACTCTCACTCATCCGTTAGCTCACTCACACACTTACACGCTTAGTCATTCAAGCTCATACATCAAACGTCCCCAATCATGACATCAAAGTGAAGACCTCGTCCTCGATAAGTGAGTGCCGGAACCTCATAGAGACACATAATGCGACTCTCATTTCACATGTCAACCTCATGAGGGAGAGAAGAGAGGATTACCTCCGGCATTGAGACGTACTCCCTCGAACATGGAATCCGTGACCATGCAGCTATGTGTGACTCTCCCGGGATCAACGAGGACTAAGGACACCAGGCAGGTGAGTGGGTAAGGTAGCGACCCCGGAGCAACAGACCAACACCAAACAAAACAACCTTATCGCCAAGATCGCGGCAGCCGAGTGCCGTTCTCTGTCGTTAGTGTAAATCACCGATGACCTGCCTTCTCTCTCTTTACCTCAGGCCTCATACGCCCTGCGAAATGGTATCTGACCACCAAGCCGTCGAGAACACACGCGTCGATTCGTGGCGCTCGCCGCAGCCACTCGAGCGTCGTCGTCAGATGTGCGAGGCTGTCTTTGCTCTCCATGTCCACACATAGTACTGAAAGAGGACTCATTGGATTTGTAAGTTGACTTTGCAACGGACCAACATTGCTAGTGAT